TGCTTTGATTTTATTTTATGCCCCCCCTCCTGGTAATTATTGCACAGTCCCTTACCCCTTATATATAGGTGGATATCAGGGGGAATTTTTGTTGAGAAACATCCCCTACCACTGGGTCAAGATTAACTAAGTTTACAATTCCCCTGGTTGTCCTGGGGGTCTACCCCAGGGGCAAGCTGATGACATGTGCAATTTGCTTTCATTTCTTTTCCAAAAAACATTTTTTTGACCATAATAAGACAGTCTTCTGCATCAACAATACTCATCATCAAAACATGTAGCAACCTCCTGTCTACCTACCTGAGAAATTAAGAATTCTCTGACCAGATATTAAATTCTCCGAATTTTCCCTGATACCATGAAAAAAAATTGCTGGCTTTTTACCGACCTGAAGCAACCATGCAAGAGTAGCTCAACAACTGCATATTAAGTTATTTTTGTTTTAAAACATTAGCAGTGTCCGATCCTGTCAACCCTCGTCCATAAAGTTCATGCCTCTGGGTTTAAAAATTATGTCAGACAAGAAATTTGTGTGCAATAATATTATTACACACAAATTTCTGATACTTGGCTAAAATTCCCTAAAATCCACTGTGTGACCAAGAAAGGAATATGTTTCAAATAAAATAATGGGATTAGGAAAAGGATATTCCAAGAAATCACATTCCTTGATCAAAGTGGCATATAAACATTTAATAATTATTTTAAAATATGTTTAAAATGCTTTCCATGATTGCTTTACAAATTATCTATCGCAAAATCCGGGCGCAAAATAGTTTGTCCATTCAGTACAAGTCAATGATCTAACAATAAAATCACATCAATCTATTTATTAGTTGCTAAAGAAAATGAAGCACATGCCATCACGTTGTAGTCGATCGCAACAGCCACAGAGTAGGTTCGATCGATCGATCGAAGATAAGCTTACTATTCCTTCACTTGCCGTGCTGTTTACTCACATAATATCTAATAGTCCTTCCTTCTTTCAATGGCAAAATCTCCCATGTAGATATAAATACCGGGAAAATTGAAAGATTTGATTTCAAACGTTTCGTCTCGAAACATTCACAACAAAAATGGCGTCCAAAGCTGTTTCGTTCCACGCGTGGAAATCCGGCATTCTCGCGAGTGTCGCGTATCGGAAGTAATTTTGATTGGCTATTTAGAAGTCATGTCAATCAATGTCAATCCATCACGAAAAGGGGCGGAAGGCATTTCGTAAAGGAATTGTGTCAGGCGTTAATTTTCAGCGCGACCACGTAAAGACGAAGAGTAAAAGAGAGCGCGGAAAAATTCGCCTGATACTCAGGTTAAAATTGCAGCGACTTTGTAATGGCTTCGTTCGGCTCATTTGCGGAGAAACGCGTTCAGAAATAAATACTCACCATTCACTGAAGGTTGTATGTTCCAGTTGGTGTTCACTGCTCTTGAGTTTCCTTCGCTGTTTTAGGAGAAACGAATCTGCGTCTTCACACGTCCACGAACTGTTTGAAATGAGGCAAATTTTACATCTTTCATGAATATTGATTACAAGCTGTTTAAACCAATCGCTGGGAGATACTTCGCATATTTTTAAAACTCCCGCTTTGCATGTGTTATGATATTGTTTATTAATGAACGAAAGCCGGGAAAGACTTGTTTAATAGCACTGTGTTTTTCATAGTAATACGTTTTTAATTAATTTTGTAAAAAAATGACATTTTACTGTTGATTTTCCAACACAACGGGAATCCAACAAAAGGATTTATATAATAGGTTTATTAAAATACGATTTTCTTTCTCTCAGATGTTGGAAAAGCTTTGGATGATTGTGACGCAGAATGGCCCCTCGCAAAGTGATTCAAACAAGGTTTCTGAAACAGCACACACTAATACCAGCAGCAACAAGGATTTCTTCAAGAGTAGCAGTGAAAGTAAAAACAGTGCTCAGGCAGAACTTACAAAGTTTCAGATCAAGCCATCTAAAACTTCAGAGAGAAATGTTCGCGAAAGTTTAAATTTTTCCAGAGTACATGCAGAGGATCGTGTTGAAAGAGAAGTAATTGCTGGACTTTGCCAACATAACATTGCTGGAAAAAATAAATTTACGGGATCAGGAGTTGATTATCCGAGTGATAAAATGACAATTGTCAAGGGTAAAGATCACATTGTGATAATGCAAAGAAATGAAGCTAAAACTGATGAAAATTGCCGAGCTGTGGCTGTTGTACCTGGTCTTAAAAGGAGAGCGCCGCAAGGTATTGGTAGCTTGACTTCGCTGTCAAATGTTTGTTCTGTATCCAATACTGGGTGTGACTACACTCCTAAGTGCCTTATAACTCCTTCTACGAGCTTGTCAACTGTGAACAAAAGAGCTAGAGGGTGCTATGGTGGATTGAAGAGCGAAACGCCGAAGTCTTCTACACCAGGGCGTATTTTAAAACAGGGCTTGCTAAGCAAACACTGAGCAACAACATGCAATGCACGCTTCTGGGATGCAATAATCGCCAAATGTCGCTTGGAGTTGGACATAGCGAGAGCGTAACGGTCAATCAGCCATGTAAACCATCAAATATTGAACCCAAGGCTGTAACAACACCTTCACTCAGGATCCCAGTAAATAAATCCTCTCTCACTGACAGACAACAACAAAAAGAAGTCACGAGGAAAGATAACCTGATGAAAACACTTTCTGCAACTACAGCCAAGAACTACCCAATGCGCTTGAATAAACCGTTTACCACCCCTATGGGGAAACCTAAACCCTTCACACCACCCCTTGTAAGAACAAAGCCGAATTCCCCTGCCACCCCACCCACAGTTTGTTTCAATGGAGGCGGTGTCACTCCACCGCTGTGCCAATGCGGGCGCCGCACTCGACGGAGGTCTGTTGTCAATCCGGGACCTAATCAAGGGAGAGCTTTCTTTGCTTGTTCTTTGAATCATGGCAGGTCAGGTCTGGGGGCAAATGCCAATAACAAGACATCTAAAAGTGGCTGTGGTTTTTTTCGTTGGGAGATTCATTTATAGCATTGTACAATCAAAGATATTGTATTTGGTAGATCCAAAGCCGGGGGATGTGGGGGGGGGGGGGGGGGGACTCCCATATTAAAGTGGCAGGGGGTGATCGTCGTTCCTTTTAGAGGTTAATATTCATGGTTTGGTACTGCTTGGGATGTTAAATGACCACCGTCAGAGTTATCCCGGTACCTTTCAGGGTATTATAATCCATAAAAATACGATGATCACCCCCGTCACTTTTATATGGGAGTACCACCCCCAGGCTCACATGGTCGTCACACCAGTTAATAAATGTGACTGCAGTTATAACTGAAAATGTTGTTTTTATTAGTATGAAGCTGATCTATCCAAAATGGCGAGTACAGTCTTTTTGTGGCTATGCCAAATGACAAACTGTTGCTAGAGCGCTTTTCTAATGACCGCTGTAATCACATCTGACCAATCACAACACACGTCAATAACGCAATGAACCAATCAGAACTCTAAGCAAAAACATGCAACCGGTGCCAAGCACGGGAAAACGCGCGTAAGCCACGTAACGATTGGTTGTGGTTTAGCTCCTGATTGGTTGAAAAAGACAATGTTTGTTCTGATTGGTTAGAGTATGTTGAACAAGTTTCTTTGACCAATCACAGAGCTCGGCAAATGCTAAACCAATCCAAACACATCATTACTTTTGACAGTCAAATTGAAAAACGTTCTATCCTTTAGACTATCATAAAATGTAGAAGGCCCAGCATGTAGCAACTTCACTTAGGAAAACTGTGGGCTCTTTCAAGCTCACATTGAGAGTCAGCTATATGATATGCTGTATTGAGTCAGCAGTAATGGCAAAAAGTATAAGAGTTTGTACGGGAATTTTACAAATACTGGATTCTAAGAGATAGTAATACAGTAAACTTGTCAATAAAATTACCTTATCTTACTTCCACAGTGTTTTACTTGCACATACAGCACACTACATGTAAAACACTGTGGAAGGAAGGTAAGGCAATTATATTGATAACTTTACCGTATTCCTAGAATCTATTTGTAAAATCCCCATAGAAACCCTTATATTTTTAGCTAGTACTGCTACAATGTGAGCTTGCGGCGCCTGTGTCGCTACTCATCAATATGTTTATTGTGACCTTTCCAATATTATTTTTCTCATATTGGCAAGTCTAATTCTCACTGCCCAGAGACATTGCCAGTACACAACACACAACCTTTTTGATTGTCTAAATTAAATTAATGATTGGTATCCAGGCTTTCTATCACTGTGGAAAGCAACCTGTTGAAGGACAAAGATAACATTGTCACACATAAAAATACTAAAAGAATTGGTAATCAGTTGAAAACATGTTGAGATAACTAAAGAATCCAGTCAAAAAGCTACTACAATTTCAGTTAGGTAAAAAAAGGTCAAGTCTTCACGAGCCTAGTGGCCCACAACTGCCGGAGCTTATCCCGGTTTCTGAAGCATGAAGCGACTAGGAGTATTGTCAGCTATTCGCCTGGAAGGGATGCTAAGTTCATGGCAGGGTACCCCCCAGCATTTTGTTACCAGTACCCATTCCCATTTTTACTCCTGGGTGGAAAGAGAGGCACTGAGAGAGTTAAGATGATTTCCGCTGGACGTTCGAGCAAAAAGTGCAACAAATTAAGTTACCAAAAAATACTCATAGCACGGTAACATTTGGAATACAGTTAAGAAGAAATTATCGATAAATTAGCTCCCAAGCTGACCCCGTGAGAGAAGTCATTACATATTTTAATTAAAAAGACAAATCAAAATGGCGTGCGTTTTTATCATTTTTTACGAGGTTTGACATTAATTTTCTCGAGAATGCTTGAGAATTTAATTGCGGGGTCACTTGGAGAAGTGAATTAAAGTGATATGTTTCAAATAGTATTCAAAATGTTACCGTGCTATGAGTAGATTTTTAGTAATTACTTTTTGCACTTATTGCTTGAACGTTGAGCGGAATTCGTCTTAAGTGTCTTGCCCAAGAACACAATGACACCCAGGCCAGTGCTCAAACCCGGACCGCTCGATTCGGAGTCCAACACACCATTAACCATTAGGCCACTGCGCCTCCCACATTTTCAGTTAACTGGACAAAAACACTCTCCACTCTACATCTGATTTTTATCAGGGCTTTAAAACATCGGCAAAAGTGACAGCCCTTTATGGTCCCCCCCATCAGAAGGTCTTGGTTGGGGCTCCCATATAAAAAAGACAGGTGATCAACAACAATAATTAATGTTAATAATCAATAATAATCAATAGAAAACCCACCTGTTAGCTGGCAGACGCTTGCACATAGATAGAAGTTCATCTGGAAAAACAAAACAAAATTCAGTTGGGTCACTGATTGAATGGGAACGAACCCCTCCGGGATGCCTCCCTCCCCCCTGGGAGCAAAACATCCCACAATTTTTTAATAATTATTATTATAATTTATTGTTAAATTATCACAATACAAATATTTACCTTTGGCAGCAGAAAGAGATCCTGTTGCCATAGCAACTTGCAAAGTCTGAGCAAATCTATCCATCGACAGTTGAACATGTTGTTCAATAACATTGTCATTGAACTCTACAGTTTAAACTTTTCAATTAGTTTTGTCATATCCTTTGTCAGTTCCTTCAGATCACCTCCTTTGATGAGATGACGACTGTCTGACTCGTCCATAACTTCTCCCGGCTCCAATTCCATTTCCTCTTGCGGATCCTCTTTGTCTTTACCAGCCAACAAAAAAGCTTGAATTATCGCTAGGTGAAGCTGCGAGTATAAAAGTCTAGATTCATGATGGGTGTGTCCATCACTTACAGCATTGTCGCAAGCCAGTGGCATTAATACTGCCCACCGCAGGAGGCCCAATATTGGACCTAGAGGTAGAGGAGTGGACACTGGTGGGGCTAATGATCCACGCAAACGTCCGGCTGTTAGTAGACTGCTGGGGCATGTTAGTAAACACAAATCAGGGTTTTTACTGACCCAGGAAGCCACAACTTTAAGGAGAGACAAAGGAGGCTGAGTTGACGACCCAGTTGATGATCTTTCATCTGAAATGAAGATTTAGTGATATTATGTGCTTTGAATGTTATGAAAAAATGAGTTAAATTTTATACGCTGCATTGCGATTTTGAAAGCAGATACTAAAATGAGAGTCAAATAATATTGACTTGATAAATCACCTTTAAAAAGCTTATTAGAAGAACAGTGCTTAAAATCATGGTAAGAAGCCCCTCCACTTAAAAGCCCCCACACTAATAAGCTGACCTGTCTGCTAACAAAAACATATTTTGTTTATAAGCCCACCCCAAATATAGGCCGCTCCCCTATCCTTTGCCTTATTTCCTTACTAACATCCTTGTGTATTGTATAACTTCAAATAGAAAATTACTAGTATATAACAATATCTTCACTGAAGTATTGAGAACTGTTTTCTGAAATGTTTCTCTTTTATACCACTTACAAGCCCCTCTCGAATCCCCCTCACCCCCCACCATTTATATTATATCTTCTCCATTTTAACTAAAGTGAGTGCTAAAGTTACAGTATCGTAAGAAAAAAGTTACCTCGATGTTTGTCAATGATGACTGGATACAAACTGATGAGAGCGATCATTAACTGACAGGCCATCAGCGGCGAGTGAGATGCAAGGGTCTGAAGGAACGGCAGTGAAGCTGGTACAAGGCAAGTGTAGTCTTCCACTATGGATGACGTCACCTTCAACACTATACCAGCTCTGTGATGATGTCGCTGATAACCACAAGAGACATGGCATAAGAAAAATTTCTTGCCTAGACTGCGAGCAGTCCCTCTTTCTTTCTGCTCGCTCGTGCTTCGCGCTCGATTTCCGCTCTCTCATGCTTCACGTCCGCTATCGGAAAGAAAGAGGGACTGCTCGCAGTCTATTTCTTGCCACAAATATATTGCCAGCAATTTTCAATTGGCTATGCAAACATAACACATGGGGGGATGGGTGGGGCATTCTACAAACCTGCATCCAGATGGCCATGGACTCTAGCAAATGGTCACACTGCAATGCCACAGCCATAGAGACAAGCTTTGTAAGAATTTCAACTTTCCTGTCAACCTAAAATTCAATAATTTTTGAAAATAAAATGTTATTAACTCTCTAATTCTGCATGTTCTACTGTTAACACATACAATGTAGCTTTAATTAAAAAAATGTGAAACAAATATTACATTATTGTATAATGAGGTAAAGTAAGTCTCTTCCAATTCTAGGGACAACATGGTAAAACTTTATCATCCCTCTTTCAAATAAAAAGAAAAAAATGGGCCCCTTTCGTCTGGGAATTTTTTATGGACAAAACATCTGTTGAATGGTATTTTTTCATCTGGACAGGTTTTATTTCATATTTTTTAAAGTTGTATCAATCAAATCAGGAAATAGAATATCAGAGCACTACCCCTACAGCCTAAATGATTAACCTTTCACTCACTTGAATTTCATTTTTGTTAATTGTCAACTTAACAAAAAGCACAACATGAAATTACTGCTTAGTAGCTTTCATTTGAATGGTCACACACTAGGGTTTCATCCACAGACATAAAAGTTAGAACCACCTTGTACAGCATAATAAACAGTACCACATGAAATTACTGCTTAGTAGCTTTCATTTGAATGGTCACACACTAGGGTTTCATCCACAGACTTAAAAGTTAGAACCACCTTTTAGAGCATAATAAACAGTACCACATGAAAGTACTGCTCAATAGCTTTCATTTGAATGCTCACACACTGGGGTTTCATCCACAAACTCAAAAAATACAACCTAATTTATTTTTGACTCAAGGATTGACACTGGGAGTGAAAGGGTCGAAACCTACCTTTCCATCTTTGATGTCTTGACTTGATATTCCAAACAATAAATAAAACACGCCGCATCTTACACTGTCAGATGGCTGATCTTGGAAGCAAGAACATATAACTTCTAGCAGTTGAAGTTCCTGGATGGCAGACAAAGGTTTCGCTCCAGATCCTTTGCTGTAAAATATGTACAAGTCGATCACCTCGTCAAGAAAAGCTGACAGATAAAGTCCAGGATTTGGAGGTGTGTCCGGTGCATATGTTTTGAAGTATTTCTCTAACATATGGATGACATCTTTGCTGCATTCAGGAAATTGAGAGGTGCTCAGGAGGCGCTTGACATAAGAGACTTTGCTGGGGATGTCTGCCTTCCATGAGGCAATACCTGTGAAATAAAAGTAGTGTCTAGTTGGATTTTGGGGTAGCGAATGGTCTTTAAAAAAATACAGGTCTTGCAAAATTTTTCGGTCTTGCAATGTAAAAAGTCAAAAAGGCTCGGGCTCACAGAGAAAAGCACTAGTCTCGCCGTCTCACAAAGTCTCAAATTCGCCACTTACTTGTGCATGAAAATTAAAAAAATTGAAACTTCTTGGGGGCAGGGCAAGAGAGACCCTGGGAACGAGGTTGACTCCATAAGGAAGTAAAACAAAGATTAGAATCTTAACTGCGATTTCCTGTCTACCCCTACCAATTATTCAGAGCCCCCCCCCCCCCCCCCCCCCCCCCCTTACAATTTGCTGTGGCTATGTAAGGAGGGAGGCCATAAAGTTACTGGTTGCAAGTGGTTTTCTTTCTCCTTCACGTTACAATAACAAGTACGTATTTCGAAACGACAATACCGCGTTATATTGTCGACTCGAACGTGATGTGCTATTGTAGCTGTGAAGCAGTAAGCTTAAGCTTATATTAAAGCGTTACTGAGCATATTGCTTATAATAGTAAAATTATACGACAACGATTTGCAAACATATTTCCTAGATTTTGCATTATAATCTACTGCTTACTTACTCCAGGTATCTTCTTCATATTCATTCATGACGGAAAACGGGAATGATCTTCACAAAACAGCCAAGCAAACCTTCATCCAACACGATCAAAACTCCGCTCTGTGACCGCCATTTTGGCAGAGCAGCCTGGCGAGATTGGAAGTAAGCCAGGAAACTGGGAACTAGTAACTGGAAACAGCCCGGAGGGGTCGTGGGGGAGGGGCAGTATTCAAAAGAGGACGCCAGGACGCGTGGGGACTTAAAATTGACGACAAAAAGTGGAATAAGTCCTTTAATGTCGCTTCTTTTGATGTGAAAATTCTCCGGTCGTCTCTTATTGAACACTAGCTTATTAGACGCGTAGACGACTGGGGACGAGTGAGAGATCGTCAGAGCCAGAGGTCCCTGCAAACCAGTTGCTTTGCATAGCAGCCCCGTCACGTTTATATGTAGTGCCCCTCCCCTCCGGACAGAAATCAATTAAACTTGCGGCAAACTCTTATTCATAACAGTTTATTCTGGACGTATAAATATTCAGTACAGAGTTATTAAAATACAGAGTCCTTCCGATAATATCTTGCTGGGAATCAATTCGATGTCTTGAGCTTTGTCCCCGTACATGTGAGCGGTCCGTGACACTGTGAGTGGACGTACGATTCATAGGAGACTTGTACCCGGACCACTTGAAGATTCTGCTTCAGTTCGACCCTTTGGCTCAGAAGTTATCAAGGACCATAGCTGGAAAAACCTTGCCGCCGCCACAAAGAAGACCATGTGTGACACGATACAAAGGTACAAATGCACTAGAAAATAACAAAAGATTGCTTTGGTTTAGTCGTCCAATATATACATACAAGAATAACAGACTTAAAACATATGAAAATAACAAAAACAACTGACATGCTGTGGTACCACCGTTCAGACCGAGTGATCGACACCCATTTTTTTCGCCATCTTCAATGGTTTTTTTCCCAGACCTTTCGAGGAAAAGGGGTGGGGGCCAATAGAGGGGACTTGTTATAAGGGAGCTTCTTTCAAATCATGAATCAGCAAGCGCGCATAAACGTAAATGTGTAGAAAACTCTAAAAAGGTACAGTTACCTCAAAAGATAATTGTTTTCCTGTTCATAAATTGTCTTTGCTTACCATGTCGGGAATGGGGGAAACTTACATATGAGGGGGCGGGGGGTTATTACTGCAAACTGAATGAATCAAGTGCTACGTTTGGCTGTACCATATGATCGCCTTTTTTGTGTGTGATAT